TATTAGGCAGTTGCCACAACCGTAACCTCCGCTCGACGGACAACTTGCTTCTTGAGATACCTTCCCACCGGACCTCTTTTATTTCTAATTCTTTTACAATAAGTGTCATCAAACTTTGGAATGCGCTCCCCCTCAATATCAAAAAAGCTCCTAATAAAATCTCCTTCAAACACCAAGTTCATGAATTTTATTTAAAATCGCTGCAACGCTAGATCTAGGTCTTCGTCGATATATATTTATGTATGTATTTATACCTATATATTTTATGCATATGACTATATATACTATTTACTATTATGTAATATATATGTATAACTATATTATTTAATAATTACCATTATTTTTTCCTCTCTCTCTCTCTCTCTCTCTCTCTCTCTCTCTCTTTGTTGTTAGTTTATTCTCCGTACCTCAGTTTTCGCAGATTTTCCACTTAAACCCTAAGGTTGACTGGTAGAGAATGCCATATGGCATTAAGTTCGCCTTATGTAACATAAAAAAATTATGTACCTACATTAAAGAATAAATAAATAAATAAAAATAAATGATTTGATTTTGAAACTTGAAAAAGATAGTCATCAGTAACAGTAAAATAGGTGTTGGTAAATCTGGAGTTGCTTTGATTTAAATTGAATTGCTCTGTAATAATAAGAAAATAAAGGTATTTTGTTATGAATTTTGTTTGAAAGGAAATGATAACAATACAGATAATCTTGTAATTTTTTTAATTGTAACTTTAAAATTTCTAGTTTTAATTTCTCTTGTTCAGTTTTTAATTTTACTTGTACCAGTATTTCTTGCTCCCTCTGCTCTTGAAGCCGCAAAATTGCCATATTTGCGGCTTTTTCTTCATCAGCATGTTGATTACATTTTACCAATGTGCTGATGCATTGCTCGTTAAGGCTTTCACGCCGTAAAATTGGCCTCCTGTCACTTGGCGTCGCTATAGGGCTTTCAGTGGATATAGCTCTGCAACAATTAAACAATAATTGTAAATAAAATAAGTAAATACTTATAATAACAGCTAAAATTTTAATATTGTAGTGATTTCTATAGAAACAATTTCCTTGCTTACCTACATGAATTTTTAATTGTATATTTTATGAATAGAGTATTATGAAAAGTTTATAATATTACTAACCTAGGTGGAGTTATAGTTGTTCTTTCGTGTAGACCACCACACCACTGCCACCTACTGCCAGTTGCATCAGGTGATGGACTCCTTGAGGCAACAAGTGCTGAGGTAACTGGGGCTCTCAACATTGCTGGAGTGTACTGGGACCAGTCCTGCATAAAATACAATTTTATAAAAAAACATATAATAGGTAAGTTTTTAATTTTGGACATTATCTATCGTCACCATAGTACGGGGAAGTGAAAAGGCCTAAAAAAATAACATTTATTTTTATTTATTTATCTTATTCCCAGCAATATCCTTACAGACTAATCCAAATCGATATTGAGGTTTCTTTCGCTTGAGCTTTCCGCATCAAGGTCGCTACTTTGTATCGCTTCTAGAAAAAGCTTTCTTCTCACCAGTTCATAATTTTCTTGGGCAAAAAATCTCGTTCTAAATCGGGGATCCAATAATGTTGAAAGGCAGTAGTATTTGTCTTCTTCCAAATTTTTAAAACGACACTGAACTTCTTCTCGTAGTTTTTGTACCATTTCTGGTATATTTGAACATATTTCTGAAATTTCGGGTTTTGTTAAATATTTGATTAGAGTGTTACTGTGGGGAATCACTTCTGAAATTGTAGAAAATGTAGAACTTGTAATTTTGGTGATTTCTTCAAAAGGTTTTAATAGAATTAAACATTCTTTGAGAATCTGCCACTGTCTTTCAGTACAATTTCGAATGTTAACTGAGCCAGAATTGTCAGAAATATAAAGCGAAATCGCACGTTTTTGTTCAACGACTCTTTCCAACATATAATAGGTGCTGTTCCACCTAGTTGTGACGTCCTGGACAAGCTGATGCTCAGTTAGATGAAGTTCTTTCTGGATATCTTTTAGTTTTTGTTGCGCCGTGCTGGAGTGGTTGAAGTGTGTTACTATTCTTCGAGCGGAGATCAAAGCGTCACTTACGTTTTCAACCTCTAATGCCGCTTTAATGGCCAACTGCAATGTATGTATAAAACACCCCTTGCCTTCAAATGCACTTTCCTTTATGGCTTTTACCATATTAGGACCGTTATCTCTCACGATCACATGGATAAGCGAAGATATGCCCCAAGTTGAAGCTAATTCTTCTAATACAGAACGTATTTGATTACCTGAATGGGACCCAACAAAATGTTTCATTTGCAGAACTCTGTGTTGAAGAATAAAATCCTCATTAAGCCAGTGTGCAGTAAAGCTTAGAAAGCAAAGCATGTTGTTCATGCAAGTCCACATATCAGATGTAATCGAAACAGCATTGGCCTTTGAGATTTCATCTTTGATTAACTTTTTAACTCTCTCATAAATTGCCGGAATCACCACTTCACTCATATACTTTCTTCCAGGCAACTTATATTTAGGCTTCAATAAATGCAATAATCTGTCAAAGCCTTTGTTTTCCAGAATCGAAATAGGTTGATTGTCGGTTGCGATCATTTCAGCGATGGCATTATGAATTTCTTTTGCTCAAGAATCATTAATATCCCATTTCGTAACAAAAGCCTCCTCTAAAGTTTGTTGTTTATTGGATTTTACACTCGAAGTTGTAGGTAAAGTGTCAAAGCTATGTTCAGGAGCGCTCACAGAAGTAGACGATGTTTCTGGCAATTGATCTTTATGCTTCAACTTCAAATGATTTGTCATTCCACTCGTTGAAGCAGTGCGCCCTGTTCCACCGCGAGAAATAACAGAACTACACAAAGTGCACTTAACTTTGGTTTTGTCATCTTCCATTTCGACAAAAAAGTCCCAAGCACGTGATCTTTTACGCCCACTCATATTGCAAACACGAAAAAGTTTATATTTTAATTTATTAACAACTTACTCGTGCAATGTTTTAGAGCAAAGTGACGCGCAATGTGTGCGCGGGTGGCGGGCGGCGAGGTACGACTCGCTCGCAACTGCCAGCGGCGACAAGTGGCGTGCATGTTTGAACCTGTTTATGCGGGAGTGCAGTGAAATGGTAAACCGAATAATTCGGCCGAATATTCGGTTCGGTAAAGATTGAACCGAATAGTATTCGGTATTCGGTTATTCGGTAGAACTACTATTCGGCGCATCTCTAGTAAATACCAATATAGTGTTTTTTTTCAAATGTAGTTCACAATATTTACTTACAACTTCAAATGTAGCAGCAGCTGCCTCAGTAACTTCAGTGGCCTCCGTGGAGTCCTGTACATTGAGTACAGGAGTAGCACTACTGGTATCTATAACAAATTATTTTATAAAAATAATGAATATCACTTTAGGTTTATCACATGTAATGTTATGTACCTCTATGTATGTACATACACATCTTTCATTAATTTTTGTGTCATTATCATAAAAACTATGAACTTTAGAATATTTTATTTTCCTCTCTAAACAATGATACAAAGAATCTCATCTGCTCAAGTGCAAATGAGTCTAATGCAAGGTACAATACTGTTATTTATTTTATGGAAGCCCCACTTTAAGATATAAATATTTAGTAGGTAATTGTTATGTAAGTTATATTGTCATGAGCACTGTTCATGAAAATCATAATGATAATATTCCATAACTTTCACACTATGCTGTCTAGACCCAAACTAAGCAGAGCTTGCAGTAAGAGTAATAGACAAGTGATAAATATATTTGTTTAAATTACTTTACTATTAGGTATCTAAATTTCAAAATAATACATGCATGCCAAACTTAAATCAATCTACATATAATTTGTTTAAAATCTGCATTACATAAGAAATAACAAATTAATACTTACCATTTGAATATAATAATATATCATTTTGAGGTGCCTGGTCGGCCACCGATGTACATGGGTTGCTGCCGGGTGCTGAAAAATAGTCTTGTTATATATTTTGTTATTATCATTCTAATTGAATACAGTGAAAAGTCATAACTTATGTATAAAAAGGCCACAATTCATGTATGAGTTTAACAACAATTTACATATTTACTGGCTGTCTCCGCAGACTTTGACAGAGTTCGGTGGCAAACCTTCATATTAGTAGACATATTCTATGTATATGTAAATAAAGATGAAGCTTTGTCTGTGTGTCCTTTATAGAACCATAAATTATGCATTGCATCATGTAATGCAATGATCATCAGCAAAGTTAATGTGCATGTGCATGAGTCCTTGATAGTGGTATCCAAGTTGGTATAACCAATTTCCCATAGATAGTGCCACTGTCTTTCCAAGAAGCTTTATATATTTTAGTAGATTGTGTAGCAAAGTGTGTAAGGTCTAACAAGTAGTAACTATATACAATAATATAAAGATAATAAAAGCTCTAGACTTGTGAAAAATCTTACCTAAAATATGAGTGCCATCGGAGTCATACACATTAACAAATCCAGTCAATCTAGTCTGGATAAGATCTAGAACTCGATCAATTGCTGGATCTGTATTCAATTTTCTGGGTGGACATCCTCCTTGAAAATGAAAGAAAGTGAAGTTAAATAACAGTAACTTATTATTATTTATAGATAAGTAGTATGTAATAATGTTGATAAATATACTAGATGTACCAGACTTATAATAATAGACAAACTCGAAACTATAGGACCCAACCAATATTTTCGGTTATTATTCAATAATTCACAAATCATTATTATTCACTAATGATGATTATATTATTCAATAATGATTTACTAACCTGTTCCCAAATAATATTGGTTACGTGCTGTCTGCTCACTTTTGGCTCTCTTCTTTAAGTTTTCCCAGCAGTTTTTCAAAACAATCCATTCTCTTGGATGGACTGACGAAACAGAATTAAATTCTTCTGCAATTTTTTGCCACTCCAGGTTTTTACTGCGTATTGTTCTGGGATCGGTGTTTGTACACTCAACAATGGCAAAGTGTTTCTCCACTAGATCCACTAATGCCATTTTTTCACTCAAGACAAAGGTCGGATCTCTCTTCCGCTTTAAATTTTCGGTTTTGATATTAGACATAGCGTAATACGTACACAAAGTCATACAAATAAAAATCCCAATTCCGTAATGCTCGTAGCTGTATTCTCGTAATAGCAAGGAGTCCAGTCCGACAAAGCAAGCAATAGTCGTCGTAAAAGCTAACACACAATAGTCCGAAATAGAAAAGCAGGGTCACGGAAATCGCACAGAAAAAGAAAGTTTAGCACTCGATAAACACGCAATAAAGAATAAAGCAATAAAGAATTTGAATTTGAACACAAAAGTTTACGAATGATAAATAGACGTTTTCAGTCTTCAGAGAATGTCTGGACCAGACAGTCTGGTGGGAATAAAAATAAAGTTGCCATTGTAAAAATAAAAGTTAGAACATAATTTAAACATTGATTTTTCGTGATTTAAATGCATTTATCCTTTGTTTTTATTTATGTAAGAAATATTTATTATAGGAATTAATATTATAATAAATTACAAACGCTTTATATTGAATAATGTTTTTTTTTTAAATCATCTTTGTATTGTGTTCCCCGTTTCTTATGCGATTATATTCTGAGCTTGTAACACTGAACGAATCAAAACGCGTTCCGTTGTTACTCGTAAAAATAACATTTTTGTTCTAATTTTCTTTGTTATATATGTACCTATACTTCTTGTGTAAATTATGATATAAGTCTTTATTTTGACTTCAAGTTCGGGTTTTCTACTATTATCTATACTTTCATAAGACTTCGTGAAAGGTTTTGAAACAGTTCTTAGCACACAGAGTTATTTCACAGGTGGAACATTGTATTTTCGTTCTCTGTTCTCTCTATTTCGTACTGCAAAATCGACACCTTTTGTAAGTATTAGTCTCTTCTGGCAAGTGTATGCCCACATTCATTTAACGAATTTCGTCTGGTACGCCAAACCTACCACCTTTTTTATTTTTTTTAAAAGTAGGTACACCTGTTTGTGCTTGACTTTTCCGAATTGTGTGATTATCTATTAGGGCACGTGCTTTGCGTAACCTAAATTCTCGATGTCCGTGCAGCGTCGCAATATGTGTGTAGTTATAGGTAATGTATGCGTTTATGATTGACATTGATGCATCGAATAAAAAGAAGAAAAGTCTCATCCAGTCAGTGGCGGCGTAGCATAGGTTGGCACCCGGGGCGATTTTCTATCGAGCACCCTCAAAATAAAACGACAAATATTAAACGTGTTTACGTGACTTTATTATGCTAAAATACTCAATGACATTATCAAAATTTACTTGCCTCTCCTTTTCAATGGACAATATGGATAGACTGGAAAGTCGTGTTTGGCTCATTGTAGATCTTAAGTAAGATTTTATTAACTTTCATTTTGAGGAACTAGTTAAAAAAAATCTTAGACATAGAGCTAGACTTTTTTTTTTTTTTTTTTTTTTTTTTTTGTTATAAGCCCACTGAATCAGAACAGAGTGAACCATTAACTGACCACTGCTGAAGAAAAAGAAACATTTCGCTTGATTGGCTAGCGTGTTCAATTTATATGTATACGGTTTATGGCCTATGACAGATTTTCATGATCAATTTCCTCTCAGTCAAAAAC